GATAGATAGATAGATAGAGTTAAAACATGTGTTTTTTACAGTGACAGTGTAGCAGGAGTTATGGCCTTCACTGTCCTTTGTGTCCCATGTGCCTTTTGTCCAGGCCAGGGCACTTTGATGTGAATAGCTGTAGTGATAAATGTGCCTCCTTTACAAGGACCCTTTCTGTGTAAGAAGAGGGTGAGGGAAGGAGGGCACTGTTTTACTCTTATCTGTATGTGTACAGACAAGAATGCAGGCCCGCACACACATAGAGCCGTGACCCATTCAGTGTGGTCCTTTTCCCAACACAATCACTGTTTGTTGAATTGAATCTTCCCACTGTAAAGTTCTTTCACTGAACATGCTGGTCAAGTTCTTTGGAAGTACCGATACTCCACAAGCGTGGGAGAGTTGTGAAAGGATTCAGTGAATCTGTTCTGCTTTTCCTCTCTAAATTGCAAAACACTTTGAACTTAATTTTCAACATTTTTGAAAGCTTGCTTAAATAAATATCTTACCACCAGGAGTTAACACCATGACAACATACACAAATAGAATGAAATCAGACAGTATCATTAAATAGATTAATTAGCTATTAAAGATGCAAGTTACTTTACAGGCCATAAATCTAGGTGTCAACAGCATTACAATGAAAGTGAATTGTGTTGTTTGTGACAAGGGGGCCAAGAATAGATTCTTGGGGAACACCACAGGTCATAGGGACCTCCCAAGGAGAGAGCAATACCAACTGCAACCTGATTTTATTAGATATATTTATGGACCCATAAAACACACCAATCCAACTGATAACATGTTGAAGTTAGGACAGTTATTTCCAGCATGGTCCGAAAATGTTAAGACAGACATAAAACATGTAACATAAAACTGAACAGTAAAATATTAAGGCCAGACTACACCACAAAATATCAGTCCACCTAAATACAACAAAGATCAATCAGGCTAAAGTAAGGTGCCATTAGCTACCTACTCAGTCTATAAAACATTTTCATAGATATTTACATTTAGACAAGTGACCAATTTAGAATAGAGCAGTTTATATTACGGTGGGTTGAAAATATATCTAACCTTTGTAAAATCCAAAGAATCATGACTGTCTGTCTTGAAGAGGATAAACTGCTGCATGTGAAGGGCATGAGGAGAATGAAAATCGTAGAACATAAAATACTAGGACTGTCTCCTCAACCCCCATGCAGGACTTAATACAGGGATGATACAAAGGACAAAGTGGGAGTTTTAGGTGGTTAACAGTGTCCTCTAAAGTGCACTTCACAAATTGGCGAGGCAAGATAGTGTACAGGAAGGAATCTGGACTGGATCTGGAGAACATCATGTGCTCTAGCTGTAAAGGACCAGTGCTTAAGCCCCCCAATTAAGTAGCAATCAAAGTAAAGTTTTGTGGAAAAAGTAAAAAAACATCCTTGGTTATTATTTATTAAGAGTTTAACTGACAGAAAACTAAACTTATCTGCTCTGCTTCACCAGGACTGTGGGTGTGGCATGATCAGATTGATAGACAAAACAACCCCACAGCTGTCATCACGCTTTGATTCAAATGTTGTTACATCCTGATAAGCGCATGGATGTACATGACATCACCTGTTTCCAACTGAGCCCACTTTAAAACAGGGAGATATATGACATATATGAACAGGGCAAATATGTTTTCAGGGTCAAGAAATTTGACCTGAAGCGCCACACAAATCAATTTTTTGAATGTATTTTTTTTTATTGTCCTAGGACGCACCGGCAGGTACACTTTGATTGAGAAATGGCGTGATACGGAACGTCACCTGGCTCCACAAGAGAACCCTGTGGTGTCCCTCAACAAGTGGGGTCAGTATGCCAGCGACGTCCAGCTCATCCTCCAACGGACCGGCCCGTCCATTAGCGAGCGGCCCACCTCTGACGGGCAGGCTCGCGTCCCAGAGCGTGGGTTCTACCGCCAGAGCCTGCCGCCTCTGGCCAAGCTCCGCCCGTCAGGGACAGACCGCTCGCTCAAACGTAGGGAGCCCAAACGCAAGTCCCTGACCTTCACTGGAGGGGCCAAGGGTCTGCGGGATATATTTGGGAAAAGCAAAGACACAGAAGGTAGTGTGTTTAAGTATATTCCAGCTTACTTTCTAGTAATATAGTTTTTATAGCTATTAATTGTGAACATATTGTGAGAAGTCTTGGTTTTACTGTCCTCATGCTCTTCCCTTCCCTCCCTCCCTCTATGCATTTACTTGTCAACAATCCAATCGCCATCCTTTGATCTCCCACTCACCCATGCATCCATCCATCCATCCAGCCAAACAGCCCCAGCAGCGTGGTGTGAGCCTGAACCTGCGTAGGGTTGGAGGTGTTGGAGCGTCATCTGTACCTGGGAGTCCAGCCAGAGAGCTGAGCCGGCTGGTGCAGCTGCAGAGAGACAAACTCCAGGCCCTGGAGAGCCGTCTGCTGGGCTGCGAGGCTGAGCTGCGAGACTGGGAGGAGGCTGGTGGCGAGGCCAATGAAGTGAGCAAAACCACAGCTGGCAGTGCAGTTACTTACAGGAAAAGATGATCTGTGCAGATCCATAACACCTGCACTCTAATCCCTCATGTCTTCAAATCTATTAAGGTTTATGGTTATATTCTCTGTGGCCAAGAAATCTCTCAAGTTGAGCTTTTCTCTTACAAGGGAGGAAACCTGGAGGAGGAGCTGCTTCTTTTAGAGCAGCAGGTGAGGAGGAACGATGCAGAGATGGAGGAGGAGGAATTCTGGCAGAACGAGCTGCAGATTGAGCAGGAGAGCGAGCGGCAACTGCGGCAACAGCTAGCTGAGCTGCAGGGCGGTGTACGCGACTGCGAGGCGAAGCTTTCAGAGTACTTAACACACATACAGGTGAGACTGGCACCATAAAGAAGCTACCTGTTTCCACTGGATGCTCTTTTACTGCATTTATAAACAGCATGAAGACTTATGGTATTTTTCTTACAATGTCAGTGTGGATCTGCACCCACAAATAAAAACAAGCTGAGTAGGAAATTGTGAAACTGAAAAAACGATTTTCTATAAAAAAATACAATTCCCAACTGTGAGGATTATTTTTATGTCAGTTTTTCCATATTATTAATTATCTGTCACGTCGCATAGAGCATGGAGGCAGGCCTGGAGCAGGAGCGGCTGCAGCAGGAGGCCGAGCTCAACCAGAAGGTCAATGAGGAGGAGGTACAATCCAGTCTTAACAGCATGCAGACAGAGAGGAAAGTAGTTTAATGAATTGCTGAGATCTCATTTAGGTTTCAGCAACTGAGGGTATTTAGTTTAAGTTGTTCTTCACAGAATCAAGAGTGAAACACAATTTCTTTCATACACATTGCACAAGCTCTGGAAGTCCAAAAACTAACTAACAAGGCAAAATGTTGCATTTAAAATCGTTTAAATTTACTTTTGGATTAAAAACAAGTCAGTGTCAGCTGTACTTTGTGTTTAGTGCCGATTAACAAATGTTAGCAAGCTAAAAACAGATGGTGGATGTGGTAAACACAACTTGCTAAACAATAGCATGTTAACATTGTCACTGTAAGCATTTTAGCATATTGACTTTTGCATTTAGGCCAAAGAATCAGCCTCATAGAGACTCTGTTGACTCATACACATAGTATTGGTTGTAAGCATTTCATCTCTTCAGTTACAGCATAAAAAGTAATTGCAGCTTCCTGAATCCCATCTAAATCTTCTTTAATAAGGAGGTAATAGATCTTCTAAATGTATAGCTACAAAGTGGTCTTAAACATGACCAAATTTTGAAATATTGCTACTTAAGACGAACTCATAACACTATATTATTTCTCACAGCAGAGGAACTCACATTCAGAAGCTCTAAGCACATATAAAGCATGACAGTCCTCCTACATCTTTATTATGAGGATTAGTTTCTCTTGCCCATCTCTCCCGACAGGTTGTGATGAATGTTGGCTTTCTCTCCTCACTTCCACTTTCATTTCAGGTGCAAGCACAGCTGGAGAAGGTGAGGGCTGAGCTGGAAATGCAGAGCCAGCACACAGCTCGGCTGGAGAGCAGCTGCAGGGCTTTGGAACGCTCACTTGGCCAGTCCAGCAAGAGATTACAGGTCAGCTCAGACCTCACTGTTTAGTATCTTGATTTTCTAACACCATAGCCTCAAAATTGTCAGGAATTTAAAGCAACCATGGCAGTTCCCAATATGTGTGGAGGATGCTGGAGGAGTTTCACTTTAGGAAATGTTTTAAAAATGCTCATTATAGTCAAAAGTTGGCTATATTTGGCGCTGCGGTGCGTTAGCAAAATCCAGTCCTCTGCACACAGGTGGAACCATAAAAAATCTAAGCTCATTAAGTTGTGGGCAGTGAAGCAAAGTTTAATCTCTGGCTCGCAGGGATGTGCAGCGGATCCTTGGCTGCGTGCATCCTAGTGAGCAGAGTATAGGCGAGGTCCAGTAGGGTGTGGGAAGCATGAGGTAATGAGAAGGGGAAGGGAGGGAGGGTATTACAGCATTCTTCGCCTGATTAGAGAGGGGCCTGAATAAGTACACAATCCCTCGCCTGCAGTTGCGTAACCATCTGGGAGCTAACTCTTCTCTTTAACTGTCTCATCTGGGTTATGACTTCTGGAGGTATCCTGAGCAGTATGATCCCTTATTGTTTTTCATTACATCCACCTCAGTGTAGTTTAGTGAAGGTAGAAAAAATATCTAAATTAGGTACAGGAGCTGAATTCATGTATCAGCATGTTCCTGTACCCGACTGTACAACACCAGTTTCTTAGTATTTTAAAGCTAGCCCTCATTTTTCATAATGCACAATGTGTATTATTTCCCCTTCACTCAGGCTTATAGACTTTATTTAGTTGTTTTTTTACATCACAGGAGAAGGAGCAGGAGCTTGAGCAGCTGACAAAAGAGCTACGACAGGTCAACCTGCAGCAGTTCATTCAGCAGACTGGTACCAAGGTCACCGTGCTGCCTGCCTTGCCTACAGGAGAAAACAACAACGGCACGTATATACACAAGCACACTCACATATACATAGACATGCATACATTTCAACAGAGACTCAATAACTTGACACATTACCGTCACCTTGTTGAAAGGTTTATTTCATAGCCAACCACATTTATACTGAGGTGTTTTACATACAGCATTGTCACATGTGTATGTACACAGTGCCACCTTGTGTTCATCTTGAGAATGTCAGCTTAGATTGTTGTGCCATAACAGCTTATATCTGCAACCCCATTTCATGGACCAAGTCACTAGCAGCACTGAAAATGCTGCAAGACTTTCGCAGTAAGTCAAAAAGAAAATCCTTATTTTCATTCTCAAAAGAGAAATCCCCCAGAAGGTTTTGGGCACATATGTATCTTTCTCAGTTATCTCCTAGTTCACTTGCATTCACTAAAGTAGCAGCTGTTTATAGAAAATATTTTCACAAAACTACTGAAATGATTTACAATAAGCTCAGCAGCTGGTACATCGCAGAGCAGCAGTTGTGTCCCTTGTCCTTGATGGCTGGCTGCTTTTTTGTGTTCTGTCTGCTTGCTACAGAAGTGGAGTCTGGCTCTCTGAAACGACTTGGCTCTTCTCGTCTCTTGCCCAGTGACCTTCGCACTCTTCAAAGCACCGTGTCCTCCAGCCTCAACCCTGAAGGCATCTATGTGTGACCCCAAACTGTCCAGGAGACATTATTTTGGCAGCAGGGTAGCCACATGTTACGAGGACTGTCTCGATGACTGGAAGGCTCAAGAACTGACTCCCTGAACTGCTGGAAAGCAGGGCACTGAAATAAACCCAGCTCTAGGAACAACCCTGAGTGTGGAGGATGTTGGCAAATGCATTACATGGAGGATGAGTGGTGTATCACAAAAAAAACCCACAAGAAGACTTTCATTCATCTGTTTTGCATCTTTCCTGCACTGCCTCCTCTTCCATCTTACTAAGACTAAAACTGATGTCAATATCCATTTGCAAACATTTAATCTACTGTCTGGGTGAGTGAAGATTTATTTTAAATCCCTCTCAGTCCACAAAAGCTACATTTTCCCAGAAAAAAACAAAAACAAACTACAAGCCAGTAGATGTATTTTTGTTGACTGAGGAGGCTTTCGGCCAAACAGTGCAGATAAACTTCATTTTTTAAATCATGAACTGGAGAGAATTTCAGGATGCAAACAGACACATGTAAACATAATCCATGCACGAGCATGCACAAACACACCTGTGCTATAACCATAGCCATATCTGATTGCCTTACTCTGGTGTTTTAAAACCAGACGTCAATAATCTAATGTTAAAACAGAACTCAAGGTAGCTACTGATATATGCGCCATATAATTAAGAACGCTTAGCACCAATTCAGGTGATACCTAGTCATGGTAACTGATGTCAGTATAACTCAACATTGGCTCCTTTTCTTTGATATGTGTAAATGTTTGTATTGATTTTAACCGGAAATAAATTAGCTTTCTTATTTCCTGTGTTTGACAAAAACAGAAAAATCTTTGCCCATCATTTAAATTAAATGATATAAAAGAAATTGAGGAGAAAATAGACGGAGGAACATCAACTACTGGACATTTTCAGTGAAATAGTTTGACTTTATTTTCAGTTTTGGTGCACACTTGGTGCAGAGCCATTAATCTCCTCTTTGTTTCAGTTGAACACTTCTTCCAAAAGCTCTGAAGTGTGTGAATGGAGCGACGAGCGATGACAGAGGCCTTTGAGCCCGCAGAGTAAATACAGCCCTGTAAATGTTGCAAACAATGACTGTATACCCTGTCTGACCACCAGGTGGCGACAAATCATATATTATTCAGACAGGTGAAAGTTAACTGTGTTAAAGTTACTCCAGGTCTGATTTTATTTGCCTTGGTTCATTTGTAATAGGTCAAATATGACTGTGTATATTGTTTTGTAACAAAGCCTCAGCACTTGAGCTTTCAGTGTATAATCTGAAGTTCCACCTATATTGTTGGCCAAGTGTTTGCCACGTTTCACTGTGTTCATCAAGCAGGGACAAACACAAACACACACACTTCTAAAAACAGCATCACACCAACATACTGTAGTCTTTTGTCTTTTGATTTTTAACATTTTAATGAACTAAAGATGTCTCATATGAACCAAAGCTAGTGTGTAAAAGATTAATAGTTGCAGTAGATGAATGTACTTTTTATATGGATGCAACTTACGCCTGTGAAGTGTACCAACTTGAAATCAAACAGTAGTCGCATTTATTTTTAATGATTTCGTCATTTGGATAGTTGAGCTCTGTCACACAGGAATAAGAGAGAAGACATAAAGTTTCACAGGAAATAAAGGGATTTGAAAATTGACAACACCTTTGTTTCTCTACAGGCTACAATACAAACCATATGTAATATATATTGGGTTTCTGGAATGAAATCTCCAATAGCATTTGATCTTAAAATCATTTAAAAGTTTGTGGTTGTATATCAAACCTGAGAATTATGAATTTGTGGAAAAAAATAGCAGTTGTAAAAACAATTGAGATAAATAATATTTTGGATGAATTATATCCACAGTACATGCACATTTAAGTTACAAGTGTACATTTTGGCCCTGCTTTGGGCTGTAAAAATGGGACTTAAATTCATACCTGGGAATTTAATTTGGCTTAACTTGGAGTGCTGAGTGTCACACACAGTTTTCTTTTCAGTCTGTATTCAAATGTTCTGCTTTTTCAGTCTTTGTGCAGCCTCACCTTGGATGTAACTTGTGCACACAATACAGTGGTGGTAAGTACATTTACTGAACAAATTTGAGGTACTTGTACTTTATTGGCACTATTGGCATATTTAGATTTTTCCTCAAGTAACATTTTGAATGCATAACTTTAAGTAAAAGTAGCAATACCACAGTGTTAAAGTCCCCCTCCACTCAAAAATCAGTTTTTCTTCTTGTTCCTACAGTTGGATGTTTGATCTTCACTGTACAGAATGATGTATGTGCAGAGTTTGACACAAGAAGGATGTTTTCACATTGATCTACTGGAAAGTTTCTCTGTGCTTATTGAAAATCCGATTTTAAGGGGCGGGGCCTACAAGCTCAATCAGTTCAATCCTGGTCCAGTATAATTTGCATACTGGACCAAAGTTGACTCCCAAACTGTTTGTGATTTCATAAATCAAGTGTGATGTAGAAAATGTAAGCCATTGCTGAGACTCACAATGAGGTAGAAGGAGTAGGGGCCCTTTTAAGGATTTTAATGTGGATTATACTTTGTAGAAAATAACATATCAGACGCACATTGCTGTTCCAAGCAGACTATTTGTATATATGTCATAACACATGTCTGGAGGGGATCTTTAAGTAAAAAATCTGAGTACCTCTTCCACCACCGACACATATTGTGTATACATTCTCATCTTTTTCTACATCTACAAACCTTTTTTTAGCCAAACTTGAATTTCTCATGCAGTTTTTTTTTTACAAGTTTCATATAAATGTGATATACAAACACAAGCTTTGAAATTATTTCTGAACATCAGGTCAACAGCTTAGTATCTTATTTACTCTCACCCGAGCCCATAACAAGAGTCTTTTGTTTTAATTCCTCCCTCCAGTGTGAAGCATCTTGCTTCGTTGTTTGCTCTGCAGTGCAAAAGACACCCACATCACAACTTGGCAAACTATCCTCAGAAATTGTTCAATACAGACAGACAGAAGTCCCCCCCCCATGCAGTATTATCGTCATGGCAACAACTTCAGCTGTTACACAGAGACTGTAACCCGCTAATAAAGGAATCGCAGCTCTCGTTGACTGAAGTTTTGAATAATGGCATGCCTTACTGAAAAAGAAAAATATAAATAATGTCTACATATCACATCAGTCTATTGACTATTTTTAAAAGTAGATTGAAGTCTGAAATATGCAGAGCGCTAGAAAGGTTAGACTTTAATGCTGCCATTCAGTAGGCAGCTCTGTGTGCATGCAATAATGTGTGATTGGTCTATTTGGACTCCCAATTAGTGGCTACCGAGGATGCAACAATTCATCTGTGATTCATTTTATTTTTGGTTTGTTGTGTCCCTTTTTGCCTTGTTGACATTTACACCGATGACAGTTTAGTGTATACAAGCTTAAAAAATGGAAAAACATATATTTTCTTGCCTTTTCATTTAATTCTGGCATAGGCAACAAATATGGATGTAAAAGAGATCAATGTTGCATTGAAACTTGACATTGAGTTTACAGACATAGCTGGTTGTATCTTTTTTCTGCTTCCTGCTTTGAGCGTTTGCCAATAATTATTTTTTGTTGTGCCATCAATTGTGCTTTTCAATGAAAGTGCATATAGAAATGAGATGATGGAGCCATTATGAAAACAGCCATCAAGTGGTTTTGAAGCTAGAAACGCTGCAGCTCAGGGATATTTCAAGACACAGAATTACCCAGACAAGAATGGGCAGAAAGTAATTACGGATAAATGCTGTTCATGATGTCTCGAGCCATTTGACAAGTTAAATCGTATATTTGCTCTCACGGGGGACTTGAGCAGCTGTTTGACAAGTTTAACATGTGGCTCCGAGATGCAACACGACAAATGTGTCTGAAATAGTGATTTATCTGAGAGAGACAAAGCTTTATTTGAAAAGTAAAGTGTTTCTGTTGGCTCACGAGAGGCACAAACTGGGTCTAGTTATAGCAGTTGGGTTTGCAATGTAATCCTGTTCATTGAAACACCCCTCAAAGAGTTTACATGAACGCTTCACTGTAAACATCCTGCTGGTTAGATGAACTGTGCTTGCCTAACATCACTGACTTGCACTAACTCAACATTTAGACAAATTGTTGTATATTAAAAAATGTTTGTATTGTTTACTTACAGATTCACCTACTGTATTTTTTAGCTTTCAGAACTGAACAGATTTTCTTCTTTACCATCATTCAACAACTCTGTATGAAAGACATGAAAATCAAATTCAAAGAGTAATGTAAAATATATAAATAAATGAATAAAATATATTTAAAGAACATGCCAGAAATGAATAAACTGCTATACAGTGCTGAACTCTGTGGTTTTTTTGTGATTGCATTTCATATTTCTCAGATAGAAAATGAATTAGAATTAGCTAAACGCTAGCAAATTAAGGTAACTTTTAGTGTTTCCATGATGAATTGTTTTAAAATGAGAATGTAAAGGGGTCTTAAATATGCAGTGCATTATATTGCTAAAAGACTGTCGGAGGCTGAAGCTCCCAAGCAAATAATCTGCTTCCATATCTGAATCTGCCGTCCTACTATTATCAAATAAGTAAAAATGTAAGATAACACTGTTATTCTAACACTTTTTTGCTGCTTAGCTTACACAAGCAAGAAGTTAACTTTATGCTGTATTGTTTGTATTGTCAAACAGTTTCACTTTAAACATTGGAAGTCGAAATACTTTTAGGGTAACTTCCCCATATCCAATCGAGCAGGACAGAGCAGCTAACATTTGCCTCTACCAGTAGTTCTCAAACGTATTGAATTTAAGTAAAATAAAGGTCAGCACGATAGCATCAGCAAACTCTTGTTTGTTTATTGTTTATTCCCTACATAAATTACATTCCTTTAACTCCATATTGCTCTCCTGGTCATCCATGCACCCCCCACCCCCACCCCTACAGTGGCTATATTCCCCACCAGGGGGTCCGTCCCACAGTTTGAGACCCACTGGCCTACACTCCAGTATCTGGCTCCCACACAGTGAGGTAAGTGGATATGCAATTTTTTACAATGTAATCTGTAACCCCACAAAATGTGTGGTGTAAATACATTAAAAAAAACTACCAACCAAACTCTTGGAGAAATCCACATGTTGCTAAGATATGATTGGACAATGGCTCTTAGGGTTTAGCAAATGGTCAGTTACCATGCAGTCAACCTGGGGCTTTTAGGGCCCCAGATTAATTGCCCACTTTGCCACAGGTGGTACTCCAGCCTCCACTTGAGAGGAAATGGGAGAGGATGGAGAGAGATGTGGGCTGACAGTCTTCCAGTCATCCATCCCCAAAATCAAAATACATGCCACCATTTCAAGCACTGGTAATATCAGGAAATGTTAGTGACACTCATTTTACAACAAAAGGTAGACATATTTTTTTGGGGTACTACTTATGAAAAATTACTACTCACACTTACAGCAGAGAAAAAGCTACTGCTGCATCCTGAACGAGCCGGAGACGCGAGTGGTCACTTTTTGCAGTTGTCTAAACGAGATGAAATAAAAGCACGGCTGACCTTTCTCCAAATCTGTGAAGGATAAAAACAATTTAATTTTTAATACGTCTCTGAATTGCAGGGAGTGGAGTCGCAGCAGCCTCTTTACCTGCACTTCAAGTCAAGTAACTGTCAGAATCACTGAGCTCTTTTGCCAGCTGGCTTTGTGCTTGAAGATAGACAGATTTCAAGATCGACTGGAATAAAAGTTTCTCTAAATAAGACCCAATTTCAGATTTATTTTCAACTTTAGGGGGACACTTTTGATACTTTACAGAGTTGGAGAACTTTGGTTATCACACCAGGTGTTTTTATGGGAAAAGTCATTTGTCCCTCAGTCTCTCCCCAGTGAATTACTGCTTTAATGCTTTAAATGGAGCTCAACAGCTGGGTCAGAGGGGCTCTTATTGCATCTGTGACCCTCTCACACCAGACGATGCTTGAAGATTTGTAGCCTTAAATGCTGTTAAGTTCATCCAATCTGATTTTTTTTTAATCATTGTCTCCTCTTGTTTATAAGGTGCCATCATTACATTTAATAGTTTGCTATTTTTAGCAGGCATCACTTTTGGTGATGTATTATACAGCATCTCATTAGGGAATAAAACTCCAAAGTAAGTGACAGCAGCTCTCAGCATGCAGTCACCAGCCAAGCCTCCAGCCATTAAACCACAACAGTATTATATTCAGTATAAAATGTTTTGTTTTTTAAATCAGTGCAGTGGAGTGTTTTAAATGCAGGCTTATGGAGGAAATAGGATTGGGTGTAAAAATTACAGCTTGCAAATTACTGTGTAAATATTTTGTATTGAAAAACTAACCGGAAATTACACACTGAGAGCGTATAATGTGTGCCTTATTTTGCATACCCGAACTTACACTATATAAAGAGAACTTTGTCACATATTTTCATCATAACCTAATTTATTTAACCAATTTGCAGTAATGTGTATCTGAACCTCACCATCATTAAAAGAGTGCAGTGTGCTGTGTTCAAGGCACCTTCGTTTCTGTATAAATAAATGTTTTGCTCGGTTTCGTCTGGGCTGAACGTGGATGTTAATTTAAGCCTGAAATTAATATGTGTTGATCAGAATTTGCAGAACAAGCTTTATATATTTTGTATGTATGTCATACTTTTAAAATAATTGATACCACAACTAATTTCATTACAATATCAACACTATTACCACATTTTCTACACTTTTCAATATTAATCATAGGTAATGATGTGGTACAGTGCGTATTTTATTGATACCCCATATGTACAATATAAATAATGTAAGTTTTGGGCTGTAATCTTAAGTGTTCTGAATTAAAACAAAAAAAAAAAAAGTTAAATAAGGTAAATACAGCAGCTTGTCACTCCCTGACCGAAAGAGTCAGATTAGGCTCTTAATTTGCTGCTCTACTACTAAAATGTTTGTTAGATGAGAATTTATCCATGAATCATACAACAAATCCATTTCCCTTTTAAGCTATATTGCCTTCTTTCTCCGTCCTGAGCTCTGCTGATTCAATCACGCAGCCGTCCCAGTGCTTGCAATAACATCAAAGTAGTTTGATTTTATCAGAAGAAAATCTGTACGATGCCGTATTGTGACAAGCCTTTTGTGAGAAACCGGCGGGATGGAGATCACAGATTTTCTTTGAGTTATCTGAAAGTTTTCTAAAAGGCACAGTGTGATAGGGATGAGTAATGGTCT